CTGTGTCAAAGTTTCCGTGCATGGGCCCCTCTCCCCACCCCCCCCAGATTGCGCCCCCGGGGGGGTCCCCCCCAAAAACGATTTTTTTCTATGTTCTCCCCCCCCCACACCCCCCCCCCAAGGGGGGGGTTTTTCCCCCGGGGGGGGCCCCCGATGACCATTTGGGGGGGGGGGGGGCGCGCGATAATTTCGGGGGGCGGGGCGGCGCCCCCCCAATAAAAATTAGGGGCACACACCACCGCGCAAACAAGCGCGTATAGATACGCGTTCACTCAAACCTCACACATATAAAAAACTTATAGTGTTTTACGCGCGCGCGTTTCTATATAAATACACACAATCTTAATAATGTGTCGCACTCTCTATATAGGGGGGTCACGGCACCCTCTCACACATATTTATAGAGAGAGACACATACATATACACATACATATATATATATATATATATATATATATATATATATATATATATATATATATATATATATATATATATATATATATATATATATATATATATATATATATATATATATATATATATATATATATATATATATATATATATATATATATATATATATATATATATATATATATATATAGAAGAAACAAAAAAATTAAGGATTAAGATACATATTTGCAAAAACTCTAGGAGGGCTAAAAATAATATTCAAAAAATACAGTGCCAAAATACCTAATTTTTTTTTTTTTTAATCTTGGGGGGTCAACAGCCCCCCAGCCCCTTCTATGTTCCGCCAGTGTTTATACAAATCGAATTCCAGTCCAGACACTCGCCCAAATGGGTTCGAGCCACAATTCCTACACCAACACATTCGTCATTTGAGTTCATAGCCACATCAAAATTGATCTTAATCACATTTGTAGTCGGCGGAGTCCAATGAACCTTTAGTGTTCCTGTAGAAAGCTGATTCATGAGGACTCGAGGTGACGCAACCGATCTTCAAATCTTCCAACAAAAGAGATGACCTCCATAACTTCTTTGAACTCACCCTCGAAAACAAAACGATTTCGCGCAAACCAAATAGCCCAACAAATAAGCACACATTTCTCAAAACCCACCACATCGGTCGACCTTTTCATACTCAACAACCACTCTCTCATACTATTCCTCTTCTACTGATGCACAATCCAAGAAACATTACTAAGAGCCCATACTTGCCTCGAGAAAGAGCAGCTGGAAAAACAATGAAATGTATCTTCAACCTCGCACTCACACCGACCACAAAAATTATCAACTGTTATCTTCCTTTTATAAAGATTATCTTTAGTGGGAATGAGGTTTTTGCAAGCTCTCCATGCAAATTTTTTTATCTTATTCGGGAGATTCAGCTTCCATATCCATTTACACGGGGTCGAGATGTTGTTATTGGAACTGCTCGACGCAGGTTGGAGATCTCATTTTCCAGTCGAACTGCGAGATGGTAAGCACTACGAACAGAAAAACGGCCATTTTGCTTATAATGCCAAACCTGAATGTCTTTGTTGATTGAACTCTCAAGGGGAATAGCAAGAATATAACTTTGACCATCCTCCATAAATATTTCTCGGATCCTCATTTCGTTCCATTGGTTTAATTCACCCAAAATAAGCTCGCTAACCCTCATATCGGGGGAAAGTTGGCCTGCGGCGTGATCGGTTTAAAAGAAGATTCCCTAGGCAGCCATCGATGTTTCCAAATCAATATAGACTTCCCATCCCCCACTCTCCAACGCAACCCCGCCTCCAAAATTCATATTACACAATAACTAGCAGCTTATTTTATATAATATTAATCACATATAATTTTAATTATTTATAAAACAATTATTAATATGCAATTTTAATCAATTAAATCTTAAAATAGTGTAAATTATTGGCTAAAGTGGTAAGAATCATGTCTATTGCACGTCGTCGTCGTACTAACTAGGATATAGTAATCGTAGAACTGAATAACTTAATTGCCCTCCCAATTCTACATATGGGTTTTTACATAGAAAAAATGGTTCATTTATAAAAATATAGACAATAATGAGATAGTATTAAAATAACATAGTAAAATAATATAGATAAAAATATGAAGTGTCCTTTTTTGTGATGAAAAAAAGGTTGAAGGATCTAATTAAAATAAAGAAAAGAAAAAAATATATCCGTTGGAGAATCTCCAAAGAAGCACATGGTAAGAGTGTATGACATTAGTCCACAAAAACAATAATAGCTAGTAGCTGTATTGTATTGTCTATCTATCTCGTTGGTTCAACTAAACAGTCATTATATCATATTTACTTTCCTCCTCCTTTTGCACTTGTGCTGTGTCTCCTCACTCTTTTCCACACTCCTTCGGACAACTAATTCCATGGACTCCACTCTCCTTCACCACCACCACTACATCTCCGCACTTGCTCTCTTCCTCTTTTCAGGTAATTAATTAATTAAACCCCTTTGGATCAATGAATAATCATACATATTTATATATTTAATTTTTCTTTGTAAAATGAATGAATATAATGCAGCTTCATTGTTGTTGACGGCGGCTTCATCCTTCGCCATAAACTATGGGCAGATCGCAAACAACCTCCCACACCCAGAGTCAGTAATCCCACTGGTGAAATCAATCGGGGCAACTCGTCTGAAGCTGTACGACGCCGACCCACGTGTCCTGAAAGCATTTGCCAACACGGGGGTCGAATTCATAGTGGGCATAGGGAATGAATACTTGGCCAACATGGTAGATCCGAAGCAAGCCCAAGCCTGGGTCAAGACCAACGTCCAGTGCTATTTGCCCGCCACCAAAATCACCTCCATCGCTGTCGGTAACGAGGTTCTAACTTTCAACGACTCAACTCTTTCTTATAACCTCCTCCCAGCCATGGAAAACATCCACACCGCCCTCGTTTCGCTCAATCTCGACAAGCAGGTTATGGTCACAACTGCACACAATTTGGGTATTCTAGAAGTTTCTTACCCTCCCTCCGCCGGCGCATTCCGCCGGGATCTGACTCAGAAGTTGTCCTGCATACTTGACTTTCACTGCAAAGTGGGATCCCCATTCTTGATTAACGCATACCCATACTTCGCCTACAAGGCCAACCCAAAGGAAATAAAGTTGGATTTCGTGCTGTTCGAAGGGTCCGGGATTGTGGATACGGGTTCGGGTCTCCACTACGATAACATGTTCCACGCCCAAATCGACGCAGCGCATTCAGCGATGGAAAAGCTTGGTTACAAGAACGTGTGTTTGCAGATCTCTGAGACGGGTTGGCCGTCAAAGGGTGACGGAGATGAGGCCGGAGCATCGCCGGAGAATGCTAGAAAGTACAACGGGAATTTGCTGAAGTTGATTTCCGAGAAGAAGGGAACGCCAAAGAGGCCCAATATGGATTTGAATGTTTATGTGTTTGCATTGTTTAACGAGAATCAGAAACCAGGTCCCACTTCCGAGAGAAACTTCGGTCTCTTTAAACCAGATGGAACGCCGGTGTATAATCTTGGATTCAATGTCACCGGATTGGGGAGTATGAATTCGCCGCCGAGCTCAAGTTCCGGCGGCAACTCCGGCGGGAACACACCGATATCTTTGCCGGCCGGTGGCCCTCCCTACTTGTCCATTACTGCAGATGACGCGGTACGTCATAATCTCTTTTTCCCCTCTTTACTTATTTTTCTTTTTTTTTTTTTTTATTTATGTAAAATATAAAATTAATATTTAAAGCCAATAGAAGTAATTTATTATATTGTCCCTAAATTGAAATGAGTGGTGCAGGGAAGTATAGGATATTGATAGGCTTTGAAGGGAAAGAAAATTCCAAATTTCTGAAAGATTTTTTGGGGAAAAGAAATTTCTTCAACTTGAATTGAATATTTTAGATAATATATGAAATCAGTAACATTAATGGTAAAAAAAAATAACAATAATAATAAGGGGATAAAAAACAGCTTGTGTGGGGGGTGGGGGGTGAGTGGGTGGGTATTGGTTCAGTAAATGTAAAATCTAGGGTAGATATACTCATTTATGATGGAAGAGAGTAGTTGTGCGTGCATGTTGAAGTAGTACATTTATCTTGTTGTTGGCCAACTGTCCCATGTGAGAGAGAACTGGCATCCCTTGTCTTCTTCTCAATACAACCAACACCTTCCACCCAGGTTTGTGCATCGTCTTTTTATCGGCCACCCACTTTTATCGGTTGATAATTTTTTCGGCTTATAATTCTGTTGTCCGGCCGGTAATTTTAACCGAATCACATATAAATGGATCTACCGGAAAGTTTACTCAAATGTCGGTTGGCCGGGTTGGGTAATATCGGTCAGCCAACTTTTTTAATAATAAAAATTTATTATAAATATTTAATTGTAATTCTTATTTTCTTAACTTTGAAATATTTTAAAAATGTCAAAATTCATAAACTCGAAACACAAATTTATAAACCTCTACGCACAGTTGATATTTTATAATTCTTATTTCATATTCTTCATTATATATTTACTTATTATAGAAGTTTAATAAATAAAAAACTCTTAGTTTTAAAGTTAAGATTTTTGCAATATTAGTTTTCCCAAAATTTTATATATCTTCTAAATAAACTTTTAAAAACATCTTATTTGGAACTTTGAGCACCTCCTTATAATCTTTTTTATCTGACTGTTCTAATTTGGTTGCCATTAGATGTTTACTACATTTATTATTTTTTATTGGTTTAAATATTTTGACAGCATAAGAAAAATAACGAATGTGGACCACTATATTATATATACTATTGTTTTCTGACATAAATGAAAGAGATGATTTATTTAATTTAGGTTTGTGTTGTCTGAATTAATGCAGGAACGACTTCCTATTGGAGGGGCATTATTTGTATTGTGCCTCATTGTTTCAACTATTCTTGCACTACAATTTTGACAGCATAAGGTAGGTATTCTTATCTCAAAGTTCCGGAAATTCAACTGAGAGTTTGAATTTGAAAAGAATGGATTCTTGTTCATTTGCATCTCTACACAAAAACAAATTCTTAATGGGATATGATAAAAAGATGCAGTAGTGCAGGCAAATAATGCCCTCTTGAGCTTTTCTTCTCTGTAAATTTTGTCCGAGGACCGAGTTATGTTCCTATTGTATTATTAATTACAACCTACATTATTTATTATTACATGTATGGACCCATTCTTATTCTATTAGACTTTACTTATTGTTCGTGTATTGAATTGGCATCCTAGGATGTGCTCATACATCTATCATACATACTGCTCATTGCTCAGTCATTTCTACTTCTTTGGAACTATTTAAATATACAATTTGGCCGGATCGGACACGGCAATCATACGCCTCACGGTCAACTACTTACTGACCGCGACACTTAATCGATGTCTGAAGACGAACATGATCATTGTTGATGGTTTTTTACAAAACAATATTGACTGTTGTCGACAGTCAAATGATCAACGATCAAGAGAACGTGAACGTAAAAACAAAAGAGCAATATTGAAATATCCCCGGTTCATTTCCTTGATTTAAAATTGTAAAATTTTATGTTGGGAATTTTCTATTTCAGTAAAAGGGCTTGAAAATTATTTCATGTCCGAATAAATTCAATAAATTTGAACTATTATTGGATTTTCCATCTATTTTTTTATCAAGGAATCAAAGCCAATCATGCACTTAATGTACTGATGATGCTAAAATGTAGATCACCTAGGGTAGTTTAAAAAATGAGCTGGGAGAGCAAAGCGGATCAGTAGCTTGACAACTCGATGATCCTGAGGTTCCTGCGAAATGAACACACGTGAACTACGCCGGGGGTTGATCCGGCGGAAACCCCTCCGACGCTCAAGTCAGATATACGGATCGTGGAGATGGTAGAGAGAATTAAACTCTAGATTGTTCGTGAGTAATGAAAACGTGCCTTGAAAATGAGTAAAACATCTATTTATATATCGGTGATTGGGTTGGGCTTACTTTGTTGGGCCCAAGCCTTACTTTGAATGTGTTTGGGCTTTCGTGTAGTGGGCCTAATTAGTAGATAAATTTGAGGGCCCATTGAGCCGGCCCATTTAGGTATATCATTAAGCCCCCCAACTCTCGATTCGAGACGGGGACTTGTGTGGAGGGATCCGGGTCGTGTCGAGAGTTAATTGCGTCGTGGATTGAATTGTTTTCGTTGGCGGTGAATTAATTTCTTAATTTAAATAAGGGGTAATTGTATTTATTTGGCAGCGATGTATATATTTAAGGGTTTTAAATAATATACCAGGGCCAGATAAATAGACTCTTTTTGCGGTGGAAATAATTAAACTTCATCTCATGTGTAATAAATATGGGTATGTACTTTTAACTTTAGGTCTTCTTTGTGTTCTCTTCTTTTATTCTATAGCGGTAGAGTAGAAATTTTTTGTTTTCTTGATTGCTTCTTTGGGGAAAAATATTTCTCATTTCGAACCCGGGTAATTCGAAACCTTTGCGAATTAAACTTCGAGATCCGGTTGAAGGGGGCCAGAAAACTTTTGGTACAGTGGGTATGGAGCGCGAAAAGTTAGTGTTATCAGATGTGGAGGGTTGTACGCATATCGGATCTTGCAAAGGGGGTGGGGGTTCTCGTGCCGGCTCGGCTATGCAAGTTGGCTTGAACCGAGCCGGCGAAGGTGGTTTTGTGGGAGTGCGCGCGCGGCCTGATGAAGGATTGCAGCCGAGACGAGTTGCTGAGGTGGCGGCTGGCACGGAGTCCGAGGGGAGGAGAGGGACACGTGAAGGGATGGCCAGTGGGCAGGGCGCCAGCGGTGTTCCCACGCGCGCGTCGTATTGGGGCGTGCGTGGACGCGCGCGCTCGGGAGGGAGCGGTGGGGCTGGGCGGTGACGCGTGCGCGCTGGCCAATAAGGGCGCGCGTGCGCGGGCGTCGATGGGGGGGGGGGGGATCTGCTGGCAAACGCGCACGCGCTGCCAAATAGAGCGCGCGTCACACGGGGGGGGCCAGTGCGCGTGAATGCGCAGTAATTGGGGGGGGGGGGGGGGGGGGG